TGACCTATCCATATAGAACTGCCTCCTGCTGCCTGGTTCGCATCGCTAGCGTAGCCTGCGTTATGCTAATACCAGCCTCATGCATTATGGATGTGGAGTCAGGTCTGCGGAACGTCCTCAGAGATAATGGGAGATGTGTGAGCCCTGCGGGAGACGGTGTAACCTGTTTATTCATAATAAGAGATAAAAATAGTGTGTTATTTTAAATGTCAAGTTAAAGCTGATTTTAAATATGGCATTTGAGAGGTTGTAGACGGAGAATGAAGTGATTCCAGAGAGAGAGACAAGTGCATTAGCAGTCTGCAAGGAGCTACGGAGGCAATTATGGAAATGCTAATAATATGGCTACGTTAATGTTATTATACTGTTACAATGGTCTCTCTCTCTGCTCTCTCTCTCTCTGGTCTCTCTCTAGTCTCTCTCTCTGGTCTCTCTCTGGTCTCTCTCTGGGTCTCTATCTGGTTTCCCTTTGGGCTCTCTCTCTGGCCTCTCTCCTGGTGATTATCTGGTCTACCTCTCCTGGTGTTCCTCTGGTCTCTCTCTTGTCTCTCTCCTGGACTCCCTGGTCTTTCTCATGTGTCTTTCTTTCTGGTCTCTCTCTCTGGTCTCTCTCTGGTGTCTCTCTCTTGGTCTAACTCTGGTCTCTCTCTCTGGTTTATCTCTTGGCTATCTCCTTTATACCAAGCGACATCTACACAACAAAACGACAAAAAAACGAAAAAAGTAAATAATGTATTAATAAAAAGAATGATCCCATCCATCCATCCATTTTCTTCCGCTTCATCCGTTGCCGGGTCGCGGGGGCAGACACCCAGACTTCCCTATCCACACACACTTCCTCCAGCTCGTCCGGGGAGGACCCCAAGGCGTTCCCAGGCGAGCTGAGAGACATAGTCCCTCCAGAGTGTCCTGGGTCTTCCCCGGGGTCTCCTCTCGGTGAGACATGCCCGGAACACCTCCTCAGGGAGGCGCCCAGGAGGCATCCGGAACAGATGCCCGAGCCACCTCAACTGGTTTCTCTCGACGTGGAGAAGCAGCGGCTCTACTCCGAGCTCCTTCCGTGTGACTGAGCTCCTCACCCTATCTCTTTGACCGCTTGTATCCGCAATCTCGTTCTTTCGGTCATTACCCAAAGCTCATGGCCATGAATGGATGATCCCATTTTAACTTTTATTAAAACCACTCTTTTTTTTTGACTTCCTGTTTTATGCAGCCTTTTGAGGACCCTTTCTCCAGACTAAAGATACAATATTTAGTTCTTAATAGTTAATTAGTTAATAACTGTGGATTTTTTCCACCATGGCGCCCTCTAAAACGTCTGAATCCCTCCAGACCATGTGTCAAAAGTCATTTCCATTACTGTCATGGCCACAATATAGAAGTAATACTTTATTCATTGTCTGAAAATTAGAAAATAAGATTGTGGTTCAGTTCTCAATAGTCCTTATGACAAACCCCTTCCTCTTCAAAAGCTTTGGGCTACACCTGGAGTGACTCTTTCTGCTCTACATCCCAGAGACCTGCTACAGACCCAGTGGGACCATCGTAAATCCAGAGACCAGGGAACAAGCAGAGAGATGTAATACCAGCTGACACACACACACACTAATATCAGAGGAGCTCCAGGACCTGGACTATGTGCATGAGAGCATTCACATGTTTGTAACAGACACAGAAATGAGGTGAAAGAGTGGAACAAATCTTATTAACTGTCCGGTCCACTTCAGACATGTCCACTGACATACTCAGTGTCTTTCTGGTCAGTCACTCTGGTCTCTCACTGGTCCATGTCATGGTCTTTCTCTCTGGTCTCTCTCTCTTGTCTCACTCTCTAGTCTCTCTGGTCACTCTAGTTTCTTTCCGGTATCTCATTCTGGTCTCTCTCTCTGTTCTATTCTGGTCTCTCTTTGGCCTCTCCCCCTCTCTCTGGTTTATCTCTCTCGTCTCTCACTGGTCCCTCTCCTGGTCTCTTTCCAGTCTCTCTTGTCTCTATCTGGTCACTCTTGTCTCTTTCTGGTTTCTCTTGGGTCTTTCACGTCTATGTCTAGTCCGTCTAGTCTCTCTCTCTCCCCGGTCTACAGTCTCTCTGCTCTTTTTAGTCACAGTCACAGGTTTGAGCCAGATGTTCCTGATCTTAGCATGGATGGATCCTAAACACAGCTCCAGGTCAGTTTTGTCTTAGGGAACAGTGTTAAACTTGGAGAGAACCTCATCAGACTATAGTTAAATAATACTTTGCCTAATACATATTCAGTCCATCAGCTTCTAATAAATCCGCCTCAAAGACTTCTTCCTCTTTCTTTTCTAACCTCCTTTCATCCAAATCGCCTCCTCCTACTTCCCTCCAACATTTCAAACATTTCAAACTGTGAATCTCTCAAATGACTCAAAGCATAATTCCCAAATGAGCAGCTTTTCATCAGTCGCACGGCCATCTCCCTCTTCTCCAAAGTCAGCGGCTCGGGTCTAACTGAGGCGGTATCTCCAGTGAATGTGGGTCAGTCTCTTTCAGATCTGTGGCTCAGTCTCTTTTTAAGTCTGAGACAAAAGAGAGACTCTAGTTTTTGTTCCGAGGTCTGAGAAGGAGCTGCAGGAATCCAAATATTAGCATTTCGCAATCAAAACCTTAGTCTTAGTTTGAGCTAACACGTGTTAACATAACGCCATCTGTAATACATCCTGTGATTTTGTCCAGAAAGAAAAACAACCAGGAGGTATCTGTTCTCTTTCAAAGGGTCTCTCTTTCTCTGGTCTCTCACAGAGGGTCTCTCTCTCTCTTTGGTCTCTCCCTGGTATCTCTCTCCCTTCTCTTTCTGGTCTTTGTCTGGTCTCTCTCTCTCTGGTATCTCTTTTGGGTCTCTCCCTGGTCTCTCTCTCACTTATCTCTTTAGTCTCTCTCTGGTCTATCTCTGGTCTATCTCTGGTCTATCTCTGGATACTCTCTCTGGTCTATCTCTGGATACTCTCTCTGGTCACTCTCTCTGGTCTATCTCTGGATACTCTCTCTGGTCTATCTCTGGATACTCTCTCTGGTCACTCTCTCTGGTCTATCTCTGGATACTCTCTCTGGTCTATCTCTGGATACTCTCTCTGGTCTATCTCTGGATACTCTCTCTGGTCTCACTTCAAAATGCTCTTTAAAGCTGCACTAACTCACTTTGTGAAATTTTCGAATGTGAGCGCTGGCCTCGCTCTCTTTGCTCGCCCTCCCCGCACTCACAAAGCTATCACCGCCCACTACCCCCCTCCTCCCCAGCCTGTGCTCACATGCTAAATGTATACGGAGCTAACGTCTCACAATATGGATCGCACATTTGAACGTGGATGGCGTGACCATAGAATGATAGAACCGGGAAGTGCAGAGAAACAAGACTTTCTTTTGGATGGCTGTTTTGCTGTGTAAGCAGTAACCGGTAACAAAGACACAGGAAGTTTCAGGCTAGCCTCCGCCGCTTGTTTACCTCAGCTGTCTGTGCTAACCACAGACCTGTGGCTTTTCTCAAGACAGTGGGGGCCAGTGGTCCGCTGTGATTGGTCACAATCTGGTCCCGAAACACATTCTCTTCCTTGTTGCACAAAAACTCAATCTAAAATAAAATGACACGCCAGCACAAATCTGCGCTACTTTTTCTTCAAAAGGACGTATATCCCAAAGTATTGCATGGATATGGATTGAATTTTGTAATGAATACAAAAACAAAGTGAGGTAATGCAGCTTTAAGGAAACTTATTTTGTATTAAAAGTCCATTAAAAGTCCATTAACCATATCACACTGCTCACAGATGGAGAGAGTCAGAATGATAGCAACACAAATAAGACCAAATGTTGATTCATCGTCTTCACTGTTTATTCTCCCCTCTCAGACTCATTAAAATCGCTGGATCAGACTCATTACAGTCCCTGGATCAGACTCAGACTCACTATGGTCCCTGGATCAGGCTCAGTGTAGTTTCTCAGGTTGATGTTTTGTAGAGTCCTGACTGAGCGGCAGAGAGAGAGAGAGAGTGATGAAACCAGTGGCAACACTTTGTTTACAGAATGAGGTTTGAAGTAGAAGCGTGGAGGAGTCTGAGAACGCTCCTGTGCTGAGAGTGTTGAAGAAGACAGTGACAGATCTTATATACATAGCTGACACTCAGAAAATTAGAAGATTGTTCCATGTAAACAGGAGCCTACAGAGACACCGGGTCTGTCAGGTTTACCGGGCTCAAGCCATTTAATAATTATTATAAGCAAGGATAAAATCAACTCTAAATGTGACAGACAGTCACAGTCTCTCCAAGGCCACGCACCAAAGTACATCTGTGACATGTTAGTGCCGTACGAACTTGGTCTCCTGCTGGGACTCTGTGGAGCACAGGGACTGGCCTCCTGCTGGTCCCAGAGTCAGAACTAAGCATAAGGAGGCAGATTTTCAGATTCATGCAACTAAAATCTGGAAGAGTCTTCCTGAAAATGTGAAACATTTCAAACCTGTTGGATTTCAAACCTGTTGAAATCCAGGTTAAAAATTACAATTATGTTTAGCTGCTACAACTGAAGGATCTTCACAATGATAATTTATGATTTGAATGTCTTGCTTTCTTGTCTTGTCTTGGTCAGCACTCTGAGTTGCTCTGGTAAGTAAGTAATGTTTATCTATATAGCACATTTTACAGACCTAGGTCACCCAAGCGCTTTACAATGTTCAGAAATCAGATATTTTTCCGTTCACACATGGTGATGACGGAAGCGAGACGCCGAACACACTGGACCATCAAAGCTTCCAACCAACACCATCCATTGACTCACAAGACACAGGGTGAACATGTGAACTCCACTCAGAAAGGCCCTGTTTCGTCCGGGATTCGAACCCAGGATCGTCTTTTTGTGAAGCGAGAGTGCTATCCAGCCATCGTGTTGCGTGCATAAATTGTGTGATACTAATAAACTTGCCTGATACTGAGAGGTAAGAGGACTCAGTATGAACCCACACAGTGAAGATGTTGTTGTGACTCACCCAGAAAAGCAGAGGGCGACACGGTCCCGTTACTGCGTGACACCATGACGCTGATGCCCGTCTCCACGAAGGGAACAGAGAACTCCACCACCTCAGAGCGCTCCTCGTTTATGGTCAAGGACCCGATGGCCATGTCTGCCCTGTTAGACACCACCTGCACACACACACAGATAGCAGTAAAAGGCTCTGATTCTGGACTGGTCCTGGTTCAATTTGGTTCTAGACCAGAGCTAATACTGGTGCTAGTTGCCATAGCAACATAGTGTTTACTGTTAGCAGTTAGCATTTAGACTGTTGAGTAACTGTTTTATTATCTATTACAGTTACATTCACCGTTAATAAAAACATGTACATTTCTTGATAATGAACAAAGTAGAGAAACACTGTTATTTGGAATTGGATTTGTATCATGTTTTGTGCCGGAAAAACAAAAGTGTGTGAAAATTCATCAGCAACATGTAAAACACTGCAGTTAAGAGTCCTGACTAGAATCAGGAAGTACCATCAAATCAGTCCTGGTCCCAGGTCTGTGCTTCCTGTGGCTCACATCTGTGACATGTTAGAGCCATATGAATCAACTCAAACTCTGAGGAGTCAGAACTAAACATGAGGAGGCAGTGTTTCAGATTCATGCAGCTAAAATCTGCAACAGTCTCCCTGAAAATGTGAGACAGGCCTCTTCTTTGACAATGTTCAAATACAGGTTAAAACAGTTTTGTTGCATACGACTGAGTGATCTTTACTCTCTTTGATGTACTGTGATTATTTTTGATTTTGGTCGAGCTCCAGCCTGTCCTTGTTTGCCAGTCCCCTGGCGGCTAAATGCTATTATCACGCTAATGCTAATTCTACAGCAGTTCACTGGGTGTGACAGGTGCAGAGAGGCGGGTGGCCACAGGGGGCAGCGCAGGTCACGCAGTGACAGTTGAAGCTACTGTGACAAACAGCAGGACCGTGACTGGATCTGGGTCTGGACTAGGGCCAGAGGTCTGCAGTCTGACCAGAGCTGGACCCATCCCAACTCTGCTGTCACTGCCCCCTGTGGACACTGCATGATGGGCCTGCATTGTCATTCTGAAAGGCGCTGAACAAAACAAATCATAAACATTACTAATGATACAATCTTTCACTTGTCACAGCGAAAAAAACCTGTTTTTTAACCTGGATTTGAACACTGTCTCCCTCTGACTTCCTCACATTTTCAAACTTTCGGAAAATGTGAGAAGCCTGTCTCACATTTTCAGAAAGACTGCTCAAGATTTTAGCTGCATAAATCTGAAACGCTGCCTCTTATCTGTCTCTGGTCTCTCAATGGTCTCTCGCTGGTCTCGCTCTAGTCTCTCTCTGGTCTCTCTTGTCTCTCTCTGGCCTAACTCTCTGTCCTCTCTCTGGTCTCTCTGGTCTCTCTCTGGTCTTTCTCTGGTCTCTTTAGTGTCTCTCTCTGGTGACGTCATGTATTTCCAGAGACAGACTCAGGTCCTGTGGCTCTTGTGATTCAGAATCAGAATCAGAATCAGAATCAGAATCATTTTTATTGCCAACGTAAGTAACGGGAGGTCACAGACTTGGAAATTGCTTTGGCTCAGTGCAACAGTCAAAAAGAGATAATAAAAATAAGAATAAAAAACACTTCTAAAGAATAAATTTAAATTTAAAATAGAGTTACAGTTACTATTTACAATATACAAGTGCACATGGTGCACACAATGTAAGGTGACAGTAGTACAGTGAAGTAAAGTGACGTATGATGGGCAGTAAAGTGACTTTATAAAGGGCGGGGGGACAGGTTAAGAAGTGTTCAAGAGTCCAACAGCAGAGGGGAAGAAACTGTTCTTGTGGCGGGAGGTTCTAGTCCTGATGGACCGCAGCCTCCTGCCTGAGGGGAGTGGTTGGAATAGTCCATGTGCAGGGTGAGAGGGGTCGGCTGTGATACGACCAGCCCGGCCTCGAGCTCGGGCGACGTACAGGTCCTGCATTCAGACTTGTTCCTGTTAGTTTCCATTGAAATGCTGTCCTTGTTACAGCATTGCAGCTGCAGCTCGAGACTTGAACATGTTTTTTAAACCTGTTATTGTTGTCTTCATGAATCATGTGTCATTGAGCATCAGAGGCAGACCACAGCACTCTCCTCTCCTCTTCACTATAACTTCACCCACTGTCCCATTGTCTGTTTTATGGCATGATGATGGGACCCTCTCCATCCCTCCCAGGAGCTCCAACACATGAAATGCAATAATAACAAAGAGATAGAATTCATTGGTTCATAGACTCCTCAGAAACCCAGGACTGAGGCTGTAGATCCAGGACTGAGGCTGTAGATCCAGGAACGAGGCTGTAGATCTAGGACTGAGGCTGTAGACCCAGGACTGAGACTGTAGATCTAGGACTGAGGCTGTAGACCCAGGACTGAGACTGTAGATCCAGGACTGAGGTTGTAGATCCAGGACTGAGGCTGTAGATCCAGGACTGAGGCTGTAGATCCAGGACTGAGGCTGTAGATCCAGGACTGAGGCTGTAGATCCAGGAACGAGGTTGTAGATCTAGGACTGAGGCTGTAGATCCAGGAACGAGGCTGTAGATCCAGGAACGAGGCTGTAGATCCAGGACTGAGGCTGTAGATCCAGGACTGAGACTGTAGATCCAGGACTGAGGCTGTAGATCCAGGACTGAGACTGTAGATCCAGGACTGAGGCTGTAGATCCAGGACTGAGACTGTAGATCCAGGACTGAGGCTGTAGATCCATGTACTTTGATAACTGAAGGCGTATGAAGGGACTTGTTACTTTGTTCCCAGTGAGCCCTGTGACGTCTTGACGGTGTGTTTGATGGAGGACTCGGTCTCGGTAGGCTCTCGAGTCCTATAGAGATGATGGCTCGATGGGAGACCTGTTTAATGACGTTAGAATCCAAGTGTTTTAATTGTTCTGCTCTTCAAAGTGCTGCTGATTAGTTTTACTGCAGTCTCAGCAGCAGGAGGCAAATCACACAGGACCGGAGACATGTGACATCAGAGAGAGAACACTCTGAACCTGTTTACCTCCGAACCTCTCTGGTCTCTCTCTCTTTGGTCTCTCTCTAGTCTCTCTCTGGTCTCTCTCTTTGGTCTCTCTCGTTGAACTCTCTCTTTGGCCTCTGTCTATAGTCTCTCTCTGGTCTTTCTCTCTGGTCTCCCTCTAGTCTCTCTCTAGTCTCTCTCTTTGGTCTCTCTCTTTGGTCTCTCCCTACTCTCTCTCTTTGGTCTCTCTCTGGCCTCTACCTTGTCTCTTTCTCTGGTCACTCTCTAGTCTCTCTGACTGGTCTCTCACTAAACAGCAGCAAGTCCTAAGTAACTCTAAAACAGTGTTATTTTTTTCTTGCTTTTTTTCTACTTGAGATGTTGCTGCAGTACAGTGTTCACGGTTTAACACTTGTCCAGACCAGAGCGAGAGGATTTATGGTCCAAAACAAGCGAATGAGGCTTTTAGTTATTTTACACTTGGTTTTATTTTGGTAATCTGTTCTCTGTGCCTTGGTTTTAGTTTGACTTTGTGTCCTGTTTTCCCCTGTCTTGATGGTCTGCCCCGCCCTGAAGTGTTTCACCTGTGTCTCTGTCGGTCTATTGACCCCTTGCCTAAGCCAAATGTGTCTTTTTCTCTGATACCTGCTCGTCATGAAGACAGAAGACGATTATGGAGGACAATGACACAACAAACGCTTGCAGTCAAATGTGTCTCTTACTACTCTGTGGCACAAATAAAAGATCTCTTATCTTAGACGTCAGTTGCATTTTTCACTGTTTTCCTCTCTGTCAATATGTGTCATGTTTGGCTGTAGACAGAAAAGTGCATTGCTAATGTGCTAATGCTACCAGCAAAATGTGCATATAAATCTGCTCCAGTGTGAGGAGATGAATTGTTAACGATAATGATAAAGATCATGTGGGATGAACTCGGACAAAATTGGACATTTCATTTAATCGATAAAATTCGATAAAAAATTGCTTGATGACTCCCTGAATTTCAAGCCCCACATAGACAATCTTGTGAAAAAACTTAAACTCAAATTGGGCTTTTTCTTTCGAAATAAATTTTGTTTTTCTTTTAAAGCAAAAAAGCAGCTTGTCACTGCAACATTTGTATCTATTTTAGACTATGGAGACCTGCTGTACATGAACGCGTCTGCTCAATGTCTACACAAGATTGACACTGTATATCATGCTTCTCTGAGGTTCATCACTAACTGTAGGGCCTTGACCCATCATTGTGAGCTGTATTCTCGAGTGGGATGGCCTTCTTTGTCCTCCAGGAGGCCGAGTCATTGGTATACTTTTATTTATAAAGCCATGATTGGTCTACTGCCCTCTTACATCTGTAACCTAATCTCACGGAGGAGCGTTGGCTCTTATAGTTTGCGTTCAAATGATCATTTGTTGCTCACTGTTCCATTTGCCCGTTCAGAACTGGGAAAAAGGGCATTTGTTCACTCTGCTCCTTCTACATGGAACACGTTGCAAAAAGACTGGAAAATAACTGATCTTATTCCATTGAACGAATTTAAGTCCAAAGTGAGAGCACTTGAGTCAACCTCTTGTAAATGTTTTTTATAATGAGTATGTAATGTGTATGTAATTCTTAAACTGTATATTTTGCTGCCTCTTGGCCAGGACTCCCTTGAAAAAGAGGTTTTTAATCTCAATGGGACTTTCCTGGTTAAATAAAGGTTAATAAATAAATAAAAATTGACTGCGGGGAGAAGGTACGGGTCAACATCCAGCTCAGCAATCCTTAACTTCTCCAAATACCGCTCTTTGTGAGCCCTGACAAGATGTCTCACTTTCACCGAAAACGTAATCGAACATGTGCTTGAAGAAGTCACGTCTCAATTTAGGAGAGGAGTCTCAGTTTTTAAGAGTTGTGTCCGTTTTGCTCCCTCCGCAATGCTAGTTTCCACTACTTCCGCCGTAAGCTCCTTCACAATCACGTGACTGGATGACGTCGATGCATCTGGTCAATATGTACCTGTGCTCCTCTCCCCTTGTTGCTGGTCCATTGTTCATGTCTTTGTCTGTTCCGTCCTGTTCCTGGTTCCGTGTTCCTTGTGGTTTTGGATTTTGAGCTTGTTTTCATCTGCACTTTGGTTTTTTCATCACTACATTATTTTTATTTTGGCATTCTT